ATACTTAAGTATGTTCAATCAATCAATCAATTAAATTTATCTAATGAATGGGATTTCTAAACTTCAACAGCGCCCAACTAAAATTTGAAAAATAAACCATTTCTAGGTAGAAAAAAGAAAGAAAATGAAACATGAATATCAGGTAAATAAGTAAAATGAGCAATTGAGAAAAAATTCTGATGTCTGTAAAGTGTAACTGTAAAGACTGAAGAGATTTGAAATTATGAAAAATAACAATTAAATCTTTAAAAAAGGAATTAAAACATAAAAAATGTAAAAATGTTAATGTGAAATTTATTAGATTTTTTACTTTCGCAAACTTAGCAAATTTAAATCACACAAACCTCTCAAATGACGCTGAATTTCTTCTGATTCTGCCATACTTGTAAATAAAACTAATTTTCTCGATCGAAAAGAAGTTAACTTTTGCTCAACTCAATAATCACAAAAAGAAAGTGGAAACGATAGACCAAAGATACAATGATATTACAGCGATATAAAATACACCGTTATTAACCAGTTAAAATGTTTCGTTTAAGAAAAAAAAAAATACAGAAATAATTATTTATAATAAAATTTGAAAATTTTCAACCCAACCCAACCCACACAATTTTAAAAAATTTGGACCCAACCCAACCCAACCCAACCCATGGGTTAACCCAACCCAGGCCACCCTCTGTGAGGCGGTTACAATGTTTAAGGTTGACTCTAGTATTTATTGTCAGTAACCAAATGCTTGACCGTGAATAGGAAATCGATGGGCCCATTAAGATAAAGGGTTTTTTGATAATTTTAATTGATAATTTTTTTAATTAATTAAATGATGGAGATTCAAATCAGTAAACTGTACTATTTTCTTTGCAAAACCTGGTTGTTTTCAACCTTAATGTTGGCTTACAACCTTTTTCACTCGTTCCTTTCAATGCGCCAACGTAACCTTGGCTCAAGAAAAAACGCCAACCTAGGTTTTATCTATATTTTATTTCGTACAATCCAGACGTGGAAAAAACTTGTTCAAAAAAAATTAGGCCCTGAAAATACAAATCAAATAAAGATTGAATTAAAATTAAGATTTGAAAATGTAGAGATCGCCGTGCTTTGCTTTCATGTGTAAATAGAATTAGTGCTACTGATAATAGAGATAATCATTGGTATTTTATCTTCCAAATTTTTTCGACCGTTGATGACTGCGCTAAAAAAATTTTTGATTTAATTTTGTCAATGATGATGTGATTTGATTGTGATGAAATACAATTTTTTATCATTCATAAGAGAAACTTTTTTTAATTAACTCTACGATACAGGGCATCGTACATAGGCTTATGAGGCCGTTCCTTGAAAAGATTGGCACTGCAGACGTTGGAGATTATCATACAAAGTAAGCATTTTATTTAATTATTTGTAATTTTCATTATTTGCCAAAAAATTTGTTTGATGTATAGTTTTTCAATAATATTACTAAGTGTTAACATTTCGAATATAATATAATCATACAATACGTTTGGCACCATCGCAAACACCAGGGCCATCAGGAATGGGTTGATGACTTTTGCCCTGAATCTGGGGTTTCCTGAGTACGTTGATTGGGTGAAGAAGACGATCAGAAAGGTGATCCGCGGTTCATTAGTGTTAGTTATCTCTACATTTTTCACTATTGTGTTTTTAAGGAATATCAACCACTATGCCGTTGCCTATCCCAAACTCTGATCTAAAGACAAAAATTAAAGATTATAATATGATTCATACTAATTCTTTGAAATAATAAAAAAATTAAATAATTAATTTGATATTAAACTTCGATAGTTTTTCGCAATAACAAATTCGATTTTAAGGGTCCGATTTTTGTAAAAATTGGTGACAAATCCAGCTGATAATATAAAATAAGTGTTATTAATATATCTCTTATTGCACAACTCACAGATATCAAAGGTGCACATTGGCGTAGCAATCCATTTAAACACATCTTGCGTACGATAAGCCAGAACCATGTTGAATTTAAATCCAATTTTGTCGTCACGACGATTCAATTGAATCATTGTAAAACATGTTCAATTGCAACTTTCCTCAACAGACTAACCATCAATCAAGAGCAAATTGTGTATAGTTACGCAGTGAGATATGGCGGAGAGAATGAGTGGAGGTATGTTTCCACTGCTACCAACGCATCTACGTCTAAGAAGGAACTTTTGCTGCAGGCTCTTGCTTTCACTAGAAACCAATCGAAATTTGAAAAGTTACGTTGTGTAATATTGTTATTTAGTTCTTTCTTAATTAATTTTTTGGGGTCTGACAGGAATAGTTTTTTTTGCGTTCCAACTTATTTAGTGCAACTGTGGCACCAGATTTCTTAACAATCTCGCTATCCTGTCGATAAAACAGCAAATGTGTAAATCAGAGGTGGACATGGGTTGGGTTAACCCATGGGTTGGGTTGGGTTGGGTTGGGTTGGGTCCAAATTTTTTAAAGTTGTGTGGGTTGGGTTGGGTTGAAATTTTCAAATTTTATTATAAATAATTTATTTCTGTATTTTTTTTATTCTTAAACGAACATTTTAACTAGTTAATAATCGGTGTATTTTATATCGCTGTAATATCATTGTATCTTTGGTCTATCGTTTCCACTTTCTTTTTGTGATTATTGAGTTGAGCAAAAGTTAACTTCTTTTCGATCGAGAAAATTAGTTTTATTTACAAGTATGGCAGAATCAGAAGAAATTCAGCGTCATTTGAGAGGTTTGTGTGATTTAAATTTGCTAAGTTTGCGAAAGTAAAAAATCTAATAAATTTCACATTAACATTTTTACATTTTTTATGTTTTAATTCCTTTTTTAAAGATTTAATTGTTATTTTTCATAATTTCAAATCTCTTCAGTCTTTACAGTTACACTTTACAGACATCAGAATTTTTTCTC